AAAGAAAAATGGAAGGAAGGATGGAAAGAAGGAGGGACAGAAAGAAGGATGGAAGAAAGGACAGAAGAAAAGAAGGAAGGAAGGACCAACATCAGGAAAGGACAGAAAGAAGGAAGGAAGGGCAGAAGGAAGGACAAAAGGAAGGAAGGAAGGACAGAAAAAAGGACAGAAGGAAGGAAGGAAGGACAGAAGGAAAGAAGGAAGGAAGGACGGAAGGAAGTAAGGGCATAAGAAAGGATGGAAGGAAGAAAGGATGGAAGGAAGGGAGAATGGAAGAAAGGGAGGATGGAAGAAAGGATGGACGGAAGGAAGGACTGAAGAAAGGAAGGATAGAAGAAAGGAAGGAAGGAAAGAAGAAAGGACAGAAGGAAGGAAGGAAGGAAAGAAGGTACGACAGAATGAAGGAAGGAAGGATAAAAGGAAGGAAGGAAAGAAGAACATGAGGAAGGACGTAAGGAAGGAAGGACCTAAGGAAAGACGGAAGGAAGGAAGGATGAAAGGAAGGAAGGAAGGAAAGACAGAAGGAAAGGAGGAAGGAAGGGAGGACAGGGAGGGATGAAAGAAAGAAAGAAAGAAAGAAAGAAAGAAAGAAAGAAAGAAAGAAAGAAAGAAGGCAGAGATCCAATGGGTACCGGCATCCAGATATCAGAAGGAAAAAAGAATGAATCCAATCCCATCCTGTAAGAAACAAGAAAGAATGGAAGGAAGGAAAGAAGGAAGGAAGGAAGGAAGAAAGGAAGGAAAGAAAGCTCCGCCCTTAAACCTGACAGAGCTGGTTTCATAGTTAGCGTCGGGTGTTTATTCTGCTATGCTATGTTTTCACTGGGCTCAACTGAAGACAAAAACACATATTTCAGCAGAAATCTGGCACCAATGACCACAACAATCCCAGGCCTCGTCCAGCTGCTCCAGAGGATTCAGTGTAGACTGTTTTAGCATCTCTCCTGTGCTGACAGTTTAAAGGCGCGACGCAGCCATTTCTCTCAGTCTGACCATGTGCAGTCGGGCCTGTGGCGGTTCCTTGGCTTCTGGCCACTGGGAACCCGTACAGCTGCCTTATATGGTGATGTCTGACTACTTAGAACAATGTGTAGTATATACAGTACACACTGTCCTGTCACACGCTGTGAAGGAATAGAGGAGATTATAACACTCAAGGCAAGAAGGAGGAATGACGGCAGAAAGGAAAGTGCTTGGGGTGCATTAGTGCTGCGTAAGAAGAAAGTGTGGGCACGTCTGGTTTCAGCTTAAAGCAAAAATTCAAAGAAAATTATAGAATAATAAGAAGTTTCCTTCTTTAGATTTGCACTGGAGCTAATGTAGCCAACAAGTAATTGAAGTCTATGAAAGTTGAACATTTTAGTACTCTTATGTGGTCTTTGACACTGTTTGACACACTGTTATCTACGAAAATATGCAAACAATACAAAAGTGCAATCAAAATGTAATTTATTTTTATGCAACAGAATCATCAGCTTGCGAAACGCCCAACAGAAAACTGCCCATGGTATCTACGTAAGTACAGCCAAGCAAGCACTCTCATAGGTTAGGTCTACAGGAACTGAAATGAAGTCCTTAGATGTAAATTTACTAAGCTCCAGTGGAAAGGTGGGACCAAATTCATGAAAAAAAACTGTCACATCTTCTAAAAGTTCTTGATCCATCACAGACCTCAAATACGAGGCATAATCCAACCAGGTTTCAGTTAGTTGTTAGGTATGGAAAACAGCAGCAGCTCTATGCCAGGGATCTTTCCTGAAAGAGTCACTGTAAAACTGCTACATACAAGGCAAAATATATGTTTAAATCTATGTTACAAGCTTCGAATAAGTCAATGGAATGTCTTGAACCAGCTTCAAATGTCTTTATGTAGAACGACCAAGAAATGTTAATGTGCCCCACCGCTAGCTTATTGCCAACATACTAGTAGAAACCCCATACAGACACTAGCCTTATCACTATGTGTCATGCGGGTGTCCCCAGGGCTGGCAGGTAGGCAGAGCCTGAACTTCGAGCCCAGACAAAACCCCGCAAAGACAGCAGGGAGAGGATGAAATCCGTGAGGAATTGGGAAATGGCGAGCCCTGCCTCCTGGGCACCGCCTCCGGTCCCGTCTTCTTGCCTCTCGTGGCTGTTGTTGTGGCCCTCCACCCCTCTGGTGGCTGACGTCTTCCTTCCACTGTCACTCATGTCCCTCAGTGGGGTTCAGGATTCAAGCCCCACCTTCCCGCTGGCTCTCGTGTCTGTCAACAAGGCCTAGTGTTCCACTTTTTTGGCAGAGTTTAGGCCTTTACGGTTCTCTAACTCTAAAAGTCTTGGTTCACCTCTGGTTACCAGTATGTCATACAGTGTTTTAACCACTATTTGAGATGACCTGGTTTTTGGTAAGTGCATGATGCTGTAGGCCTGCAGTTTACGCAATGCTAACTGATCTACATTAGCTTGGTAGCTACATTAGCCTCATAGCTCCAGCACAAAACTAAATAACCGAACATGGTGTGGCTGATCAACTACATTTGGGGTGAAGGGGGAGCTGAAAACATGGTGTTCCACCAAACTATTCATTAGAAACCACAACAGACTGGAAATAAGATTCCTCGTTTAGCTGAGGTTCTTATATGTCACAGATGTTAAAAGAATAGAAGTATAGAATTGTGCACGACTTGAGTGCATCGCTGAACTGCACTGATTAAAAGAGCAGGAGGAGATGAAGATGGGAAATTTACAGAAAAACAGGAGAAGGAGGAAGAGAGAGAGCGAGAGAGAGAGTGATGGAGGGTTTTAGCTGGGAGGTTTTAGTGAGATTAAAGTGCGAGTGGTCGTCTCTTAAAGGCCGTCTCCGTAATGAAATATGTCCGAGCGCGCAGAGGGGCCGCTGGCGCTGAAGAAAGAAAGGAACGAGCGAGGGAGGGGCTGGAAAAACGAGTGCGTCAGCAAAGCCGTCTGAGACCTGTCCATACTCATCAGCTCTCACATCTGTAAACACACACTCCAATAAACAGCAGTGCGAGCAGCAGCCAGCGAGAGAGCGAGAGAGAGAGAGGGAGAGAAAGAGAGCGAGAGAGGGGGGAGGTCATAAATGTTGTAATGTCTGAATGTGTTTTGATAGCCATTTATATGACCATGTGTAAAAGTCAGAGACCACCCTTTACCTTCATTTCTTTCATTTCCATCCCATCAAGCACAAGTTTATCATTTTCAGGAGATGTTTAATAAGATTAGATTTAAGACAATCCACTTGCATAAAGAAGGGGACAGTCAGTTGAGACTAAGTGGAAAAACAGGATGTTTCCAAAACTGGAGTTCAAAAACACATCAAAAGATATTGTGAAAATTCCTAACAACCACCTGTGATTCCTGGTAGACCACCAGATTTGGACAAAAAAAAACAAAACAAAAAAAAAACAATGGCATTTCTATCCCTTCGTCTTTCCTTCGGAAAGGAGACCTATAAACCAAACAAAGAAGCCGGTGTTTTCAGAACAATGCACTGACCGCAGCAGAGTCCAGACCTCAACATCACTGAATCTGTTTGGATTACTTCAGAAATTTACAAACCAACTTCTAAGACTGAACTTTGGAGGGGTGGTTGCAGATTTCTTGGAAAAACTGAAAGTGAGTCTCCTGGAAAGAATGAAAGCTGTAAAAAGGTAAAGAGTGGACAGAACAAATATTGAAAATTTGATATTTTATTGTTGAGACTTCAGTATCATTTTCTGTGAAATACATGTTTCTGCTTTTTTCCTGAATCTGGTAAAAGAATAACATGAACTTAATGGCTGGTTTGACTGGAAATTAAGTAAAACGAAGGGCCTCTGACTTTATTCATACACTTGTTGCACAGATAAATGGTTTTTAATGTCTTTTGCACACTATTATATTTGTTCAGGTGTTCGTAAATGCGTGATTTATTGTCTCCACAGTTGTGTGAGTGTTTAAATGTCTGCATGCTTTTCTATGGCTGTTTATGTGACTGTATGTGTGCATTACACATATTATATACATATGTGGTTGCTGGCCTTGGTCGCTTTGTGTGAGTGCTAACTCAATCACTCCAGCAGCTCTCTCGCTCTCTCTCTCTCTCCTCCAGTAGAAGTGCAGACTGGTGTGCTGTCCTGTCGAATGTAATCTAACTGCACTGAAGATCACGTCCACTGATGTGGAGTCAGATTACAGCTAATAGCACATCCTCCAGCATGTTGGTGGATCAGCCCGCCAGCGCTCACTTTTACCAGGAAAAACGTCCTGCTTATCATCATCTTGAGTGAGAGGTCAAATATACAGACCGCAGACGGGCGATAATAAAACATCATGTTTAACAGCAAGCGGACACGAGCTGACTTTCAAAACCTCAGAATCGGTGTACTGCTCACTCTGCGCAACACTTATCACTCGCGATAGCGCACTCTGGTTGAAACCGTGTTGATTTAATGTCCAAATGGACATCTATGTTGACTCAATGTTCAATTCGCTGTGAATCAGCTCAGGAATACACAGAAAATCTTGGAAAACTATGTTGAAAAGTGGCCCAATGTTAATTCAGCAGCACTCGTTTAAGTTTGAACAGCTGTGCAGTCTTGGGTTCAGTTGCCATTTGTCAGATATATATGTATCAATCAGTCCTCTCTTGTCTCTCAGATCTCTTTCCCAACATGACAGTTAGCACTGATATCTGGATACATTGCTATCTTGCCCAGGCCTAATCAGGGATTTTGAGACACTTTGCAGACTGAGAAAATCACCAGGCTAGACTGGTCACTACGCAAGCGATCGTCATGAGTGTGCACAGCTGGACGGTTTGTCGCAGATCCAAAAACTTTGTGAGTGACTGAAAAATCAGGGTTAAAATTGTGCAAGTTTCATACACAAAGATCTGACGTTTTAGTTACATCAGTGATTCTTGGAGGAAAATGCTTAAAGCATAATCTTAAATGCAGTTAATGCATGTCAAAGAAAAAACACATAGTAATAAACAAATACTAGTGTGCACTCATACGTACCAGCTCTCTGTGCTTGCATGACACCAAGTTTGCTGTCGTCCGCCACTGAAAAAAACACAACAAATCAGTCATGTGTTCTGCCAAATAAATTGTTTTAATCCACTTTTTCAGAGTTTAGGAGCTTTAAAGATCATTCTACCAAATTTTACAAACTTTAGACTAAAATCCTTTTGCTTTCATATTTATTTTATTAAAATGCACAACTAAAAGTTCTATTTTGCCACTAACAAAACAATCATAACACCACTGAAGCTTTACCAAATGTTTCAGTAGTGATTGTTTCGGTACTGACAATTTTAGCTCATTTTGAGCAGAACTCAAAAACACCAGCCAGTACTTGACTAGAAGCTCTGGACAGCTGGGCACATATAAAATCATAAAGTTTTTCAATAAAACACAAAAAAGTACTTAAATGCAGAAAATATTAGCTCTAGTGTTTCGGTAGTGACAATTCTTAATGTTCCACATTGATTTTCAGACTTTGGCACACATTCACTCCAAAACAATGGGATCTAACTGCTCACTGTGTGGCCATGAGGGAGAGGGATGCAGTCTCACTTCCTGCACTAAAATGCAGAGGTGTGGCTAAAATAAGGCTCCGCCCACAGACTAAAACTTTGTGTTTCGGTAGTGACGTGAAAGCATGGAACAGCATTTTTTATTTCACGATATAACAAAATCTTTCAACTTCACTTTATAAGATCTTCTTAAAACATTTGAAGAATTATTTTTTACAAGCTTAAATTTAGTGGTCAGGGTTTGGGACAGTATCCCAATAAAAAGCACCCTATAAATTCTGATTTTCTATATTTTTAGCTCATTGCTGTCTCAATTAATGCCTTGGGTTTAGATGGATCATAACATCATCCTTGTAAATTTCCAAGGTCTGAATTTTTTATTGTTTTAATTACGGCTTGAACTTGTTCTTTTTCACCAAGTGAGCTGCACATGATCCTACGAGTTTGCATTGAGGCTGCCTCAGCTGAGCGAAGTGGTCTAAATATGCTTCAATGCTTCAACAGATCAGAGCTCAGCCACTAAGAGCTTGTAATTAACACGGCCTTGAAGGCAATGCAGTACAGGAGGTCAGTGTAAACTGAATAACGTCTATTAGTTATGAAAATACAAGCAGTTATGAAAGCATGAGCTAATTTCTTGGCTGGGTATTTTCGGGTGGTGAACCGGAAACTGACCGATGATGAATGGAGTGTAGGGTCATTGGAAGGTGATGGGCTATATTAGTGGTCACCAACACTAATCCTGGAGATCTGCCTTCCTGTAGAGTCCATTTCCAACCACAACCTACCACACACAGAGAACTTCTACAGAGGACTGTGATTGGTTGGATCAGATGCATTAGAGTTGGGTAAGTGTAGAGCAGCAAAGCAGACCTCCAGGAGGTGGGTTGGTGACCACTGGGCTTTGAATGCCTGTATAGTGGAGCTGTAATGCAGGTGAGGACAGTGAGTGTTGGCCTACATGCATGTTTGTAGTTGGTGCAACTCTTTGAAAACAGGCTGGATGTTATATTCTAATTATTTCAATATGAGGATGACCAGCCTTCACAAATAAACACAGGTCCAGGGAGCAGAACTGCAGTGTGCTGTGTGGGCAGAGAAGGGAAAAAAGGACTGAGGAGAAGAAATGAGAAAAGAGCACAGAAAGCAGGAGGGAAGCACTCTTTGCTATGTGATTCTTTTCTCCATTGCAATATGTATATAATATTGTGCATGTCTCTCTCTCTCTCTCTCTCTCTGTCTCTCTCTCTCTCTCTCTCTCTGTCTCTCTCTCTCTCTGGTAAGCAGTCACACTTGCTTTTAATTAGGGAGGGCTTTGTGGGGCGAGTTTCCTTCTGTACAGCTGAGAACATCTGTGTTCACACACACACACACACACGTGCAAAACACACGCGCATACACACAGACACACAAGCACATACACACCTGCACACAACACACACAGATACACACATAAATACACACACAAATACATGCACATACAAAAACACACACACACACATACACACACACAAACACACACATACACGCACACAAATACACAAACACACATATATACAACCACACACACACACACATATACACACAAAAACACAACCACACACTCACACACACAAAAACACATGAACACATACAAATGCACATATACAAACATACATGCACACGCATACACACAAATAGACAAACATACACAAATACACACATACAAAAACACACAAACACACCCAAATACACACATACACAAATACACACACACAAATACACACATACAAAACACACAAATACACACATACAAAAACAACCATTGTTCTCATTTCCATAGGCGTTTACACTTCCAAACAAATGAAACAAAACCTGGCAAAATAAAGTGTCAAAATTCAGTGAACACTCCAAATCACACCACCCCTTACAATGAAGCTCGATACATTTAACAAAGATTTCAAAACTCTTCATTTCTCATTTGAAACACACTGAGACTATATTCCAATATATTCCCATTTTCAAAACAGATGACCACCACTTCAATATTCTTCACTCATATTTTGTGCTAATATATTCCAGTATTTTCCAACATATTCTTGTTTCATAGGGGATGACCACCATTACAATAAACACTAATATATTTACAACATATTCCAGCAGATTCCATTTTATTATGCCATGACCTCTATATTTCTTTTAATATTTTGACAAAATATTGAAATACATTCCATTTCCATATGGAATGACCAGCCTGCAGTATATTTAAACGATTTATTTTAATATTTTGACAGTGTTTAAAAAATGAAATATAATATAAAGATGGTTGTGACATAAGATAAATATAATGTATTTTGCAATATTTTGCAAATATATTCCAATTTATACTAATTTATGCCTTTTTCATACGGGATGACCAACATTACTATGTATATCATTTGTTTTTGGACTGTATGGACTGATATATGTAATATATATATACACATATATATATATATATATATATATATATATATATATATACAAATATTACAGCATTACAGTGTGTTTGTATATATATACATATATGTGTCTATCACACACACACACACACACACACAATGCAACCGACCCACAGAAAGGAAATGCAAGTCAATACATCTGTGTGAGATAATATATTGCACCCAGGGCATCTACAGTAGTACCCCAACTGTGTGTTTATGTGTGTGTGTGTGTGGGTGTGTGTGGGTGTGTGTGCACCTCTAATCCGCAGAAACAGGATTGAGCAGAAGCAGCAGCTGCTGCCACAGGCACCGCACCACGGGACACAATAATACGCTTTCATTACACTGCAATTTCTCTTAAATAATCCTTTTCATTTTTTATGAGCTCCATTTCCCCTGCTACAGAAAGACGACTGGGGAAGAGGGGAAAAAAAGAGAAAAGCTGAGGAAATAAGGAGCCTGTGGTGGAGAACTGTGTGTGTAAACATGGCAGAAAAATCAGTGTACATACACTGACATATCACTTGTATAACACTTATAACACTACAATACTAACGCTTTTATTTTGGAATTTTCCCCCAGTTTAGTCACGTTCAATTCCACCTGCTAGCAAGGTCTCCTCAAATTACACGATACTACCAGCACTAGGAGGGTGAGGGGTAGTACACGCTTCCCCCGATACATGCTAACGGAACATCAGTGGACAGCTCAAAACGCTTGGAGGAGAACACTAACTGCCAATTCTGATACATCAGCTAACAGAGTGATGGGGGGGGGGCATCCTGCCCACCCAGAGGAAGCGAGTCCAATTGTCCTGGACACTTCCCGAGCTGGACTGAAGGCCTAGAAGGGATAGAACGTCAGATTAACAACTAAAATGATTCAAAGAAGTGACTGAGGAATGGATTACCGATCACGTTTTGATTTATAATGGATGGGACCAATTTTAGGAGTGAAAACATCACTGTAGGCTTCTAGAAGTTCTAGATATGTCACTGACTGCAAATAAGAGCCATAGCCTAACCCAGCAGTGTCCAAAGTCCAGCCCTAGTGCCAAATGCAGCCTATGGACAGATTTTATTTGGCCCCTGGCTTCTGTTTTACAGTGTATTATAAGTGGCCCGCCAGCCAGTACGCTGTAGTTCTTCCTTTCACCTGATGGTGGCAGCTGACCAGACCTGCAGCTTCATTTACTAAATGACATTTAGTCAAGACTACAGACATAAAGCTCAAACTAAACACTGAAACCTGGCGATTTTGGCGAGACAGAATTAACCCTTTAAGGTCAAGCAGAAGTGTGGCTACGCTGTGATTATTGGATATTTACAAAACATTAACTAACAAAAGCAAAAATCTATAGATTTTGGTTTAGTTGGTCTCACAATTTAATTATTTATTATAAGTGCTTATCGATCCAAACTGCTTTGAATGAATGATCCAACAATAAAAGAAGCCTTGTGCATCTTTTATAGAGTGATAGGTAACACAGTAGCTCACAGAAAGCTCAGATTCTTTGCGCTGATGATTTGAAAGCTTAATATTTTGAATTACTTGTTAATAAAAGTTTGGCCCCTCAGGTATTTTGACAAGGTATGATCTGGTCCTCTTTGAAAAAAGTTCAGACACCCCTGGCCTAACAAGATTTCAGTTAGTTGTTTGGAATGAAAAACAGCAGAGAGTCACTGGAAAACCGCTGCATTCAAGGTAAATATATATGCTAATGACTGTTTTCAAATAACACATATGGAGTGTCAGTCATCAGTAACCATTCATTACAACTGTAGTGAAGTTTGTAAACAACCTACCAATTATGTCATGAAATGACATCATATGCACAGCGTATGCTAAATGAACAATAGTGAGGCGTAGGATAAGCCTTTTTGTCTAATTTGGGGCACTTAAAACATCCATTTTGGTAAATTTATATTTGAAATATATGTTGCAGATTTCTGCTGCAAAACTCAACTTACAGTCAGATTCCACACCAACAAACACAATATTTATTAAAAGAAATTTAATATGTGGTGCTTGAAAAAACAAAAAATTGGTAGTAGTAATTTAAATTTTTAATTTTCCAAAAGAAAGTACAAACATTTATAGTGTCTTTAGGTCAAAAATCAAGAGAAAGAACCTGTTACCATATGGCAACATAATGCAGTAGAGACTGGGCACTAAATCCTCAAAATTCAGATTAAAACAATATAGCCAATTTTATTGCATTTCAATTGTTCACGTGCCCAATGTACATAATTGGTGGATTATAGATTATACATATTAATATACACTGGATTGGCAAGTACATGCATTGTAACCTATGACTTCATTCAGTATATCTCATGTATAGTGTAAATGAGACATGAGACAACTCACAGTTTACAATACATTTACTTGCCCATCCAGTTTTTTGATTAAGCAGTCCTTCAAAAGATGACCAACTAATGTCCATCTGGTTATTAAATGAACTAATTAAGGTGAAGTGCTCCATTAAAGGACGAAGCATGGGTTTCAAATGGTCTGATTATAAGTCCATTACCCGAACAGCTGCTGCTGTGTCGTGCACAGTTGTCATCTGAAAGCTAATGTCATTCAGTGCTGGTGACCTGTGTCAGAGGAGACTCTACGATGCTTCTTATGATAACCACAATGTGAGGACTGAATCTGTACATTAAGCAATGATGGCTCTGTTTTACTGTTTAGGGCAGATAGTGTAGTTCTAGATTAAGCCTATATGGTTTATGTGTGAATTAGCAAACTTTGGATTTCTTAATGATGGTTTAAAATAATTGAGTGACTGATTGCACCATATAGTGCTACTGTAGAGATGTACAAATGATTGCTAAGTTGATTACATTTTAAGAAATGAACATATTTTAAATGATATTTCCTTATTGAAAATGGGATAATTAAAAAAAAAGGAGCTTTGCATTTTGTTGCCGTATGGGAACAGCATGAAACACTGCCATGGCCAAATTCATCATACCATAATGTGCATAACAGCAATCTATGCCAAATGACTTAAGAATACAGAAAATATGAAAATAATTAGTGTTTAAAAAATAACTTGGAACGTAAGTAAGTTGGAATGGTAGTGTCCAATGGAAGTCTACTTATTTACTCTTATTGTACATGTTGCCGATTTTAGTTCCATTGTCACATGCTGTTGCCACATGGCAAAAACTATATTTTATTCATTTTACATAAGGCCTCTAGTATCTAAACTAGTTTCTTTTAAGAAAAAAAGCAATATATACTGAATAAATACTGAATTATACAAACATTTGAAAGCTCTTCAGAAGCCCCATTATGTGATTAGAAAAAAGTGCCATTTTACAAATAACGTCTTCATTTTTCCAAAACAATAGAAAACCCACATGTATTTCGTTTCAGATGATATATTGTTATGAGGCAAAAAATCAAGAGAAAGTACTTTATGTACAAAATGAATGTACAAAATTGTCTTTCAAAATCCTTCATAAACAATCACTATAAATGCAGGTTATTCAAAAAACTGACTGCTCATCATTTGTGTTCTTTCTGCCAAAGTCATGTACTGGCTTATAAGTCTTCATATGGCACATCATGCTTGGACCCCACTGATTGCCACTTGCAGCTATATTTCCCTTAGCAGAGTGGTTACAACAGATCACAGAAACCAATGTGTTCCATGAAAAACAGCAGTCATTTAAGATGGAAACTAAGTGGTAGACTGTTTTGGTTGCTTACAATGGTAACTTACACATTAACCTTTTTTGCATCTTTGATTCAAAAACTACTGAAGAAAGAAATCTGAACACTTTCAACTAAACAAACCATTAGCAAGCAGAAACAACTGCCCATTTCACTGCTAAGTTAATTTGGCAAGTTGATAATACTGCAGCAAAACTGCAAAAGACGCTTCATACCTACATTCATTTAAACCACTGACTTTTGCCAAAAGCTTACAATTTGCATGTATGGTTTATGAAAATCTGTTTATGGGGAAGCCTTCTTAAGAATTAACACTGTAGCTTAGCTGTGATAACGCCATTGCTTAAACTAGACTAACCCTCTTTAAAATTAATTTTCCATGCATTTCAGATTTCATTTGAATATATAATGTAAAATGGACGTAAAGTACAATAAGTAAAGTAAACTTGTTTGGTCAGCAACAACTTAAACATCTCTACCTGTTCGAGATTTTCTTAATTCAGTTTAAAATGTACATAAATAGTAACCATTATTTTCATTCTCAAACTCAGAAATTATTGGTGAATTGCTCAAAATCTACAGAAGAAAGATACCTACAAACATTCTGGTATTATGTTGTTTCAGTGATGAAATTCCTGCCTCTAACTGCACTGATGTGTGTGCTATCATGGGGTCAAAACATCCTGCCTCTAAAATCAACCTGAGACTATCAGGGTCGGAGAAAAAACAAAAAATCCATCTTTGTCTCCGAAAGTCATATCAGTTTGAGAGACAGCTTTCAATTTGGAGCTTGATTGAGAGCTTTATGGAAGAGAGTAGTCGGGACAGACCGATTATGTCAGATAACAGAACAAACAGTGGAAACACACGCACACATATGAACTGTAAAAATCCCAGGAAACGCCTACCCTGACTGATCTCAAACTTAACACAAGAAAAATGAGGATTTAAAGGACAAAAGAGACAAACACAAGCAGCGTGAGGGAAAGATAAAGGGATAAAGTGGAGAAGAATGCAGAGAATGGGGGAAAAGCTAGAAGACAAACATTGTGGCCTCTGTAATAAAAGCCAATGAGTTTCGGGCAGACGGCCGACTACGCCACTATCTCCGGCAAGGGAAGCCAATAGTCCGACCTAATGAAGTGTAATTGGAAACGGACAAAACTCCTCGCTTCAGAGGAATGAAATATCCTTCGCATTTCCGATGGAGGAGAAGGAAAAAAAGGAGGGGTAGTAGCGGGCGGGGGGCTAACAGGGTCATTCTCGGCAAATGCAGCGGAGATAGTTGCTAATGAGCACGAGGAGGGGGTTGTTTTCTGTAGCAAGTGGAGGAGTATATAAAAGCAGAGAGCAATCTCACTGTAAAACCATTGTCTTCTTCATGAAAAATGGTCTAAAGATTGAAAGCTGTAGGCAGTGTGCAAAATACCCTCTGGTATTTTTCGGGGATGTCCCATGATGGCTGGCCACTGACACACTCGCCATAGCAGCGCTGATGCTAGCATTAATGGCAGCAAAATGTGTGGATTAACAATTGTTCTTTAGGAAATGTTCTTTTCTAATTTGGTAACATGGTCTTCCACACACACATCTCCTCTTTTGTATTCAGTTTGAGAAATGATTAACAATTCACTTTTTATATCAAACTCCTGGGCAATTGGGTTAAGTTTTTCAGAGGTATCCTGGGCATAGTTACAGTTGCTAGGCTATGAAGGACCAAATGGCTGAACCAGTTTGCACCCTGACGCAGACCAGTGCTACATCTCTAGTGAGTTAAGAATATCAAAGACAGAAGTTCAACGTTTTGTGGGTGAAGCAGGCTAAACAATGACCTTTCCCTGAATTTGTACCTGAGAGTCAATTTTATCCTAATGGACAACCCCCAGTATTGGGGTTTGTATGCATTCATGTGTCCTTACCTAGATCCATGCTTTTGGAAGCCTTTGTTGGGTAGTCAGGCGCTCTCTGGGTCTGTTGATGTTGGTGAGCTGGACGGCCTGGCAGTTCCCTTTCCGTTCTGTGGTAACAAAATAAAATTCGGATCAAACCTAAGCCAGAAACATATTCGAGAAACGACGTGAGCAGTCTGGTCTTATCGGGTTCGGACATATATTTCAAGCTGTAGGCTGATATGATTATGCGACCCCAGGCAGCGTTTGCAGTGTAGGTAAAACAGTCCCCAAAAGAAGACTTCTCAGATCTACCACCATCATCAACATTACATGTTCAAACTCAGAAGACACATGTAGGTTCACTGGTGGTTTAGTAAATAAAATGTTGCAGTACACATCATTAGCCCAGATTCCTATCACCACCACACATCTAAGTAAGTTTCTTCACAAACAATTTCACTTGTTTACATCTCAAGCAATTGAATTACACTTAAAAATCTGCAGAAAATTTCCCTTTTTGAGCCCAGTCTTGGATGACATTGCAGTCAATTGAGATTCTCCACTGAAAATGCATTAGAGTGTCAGTCAGCCTTCAGAATTACGATGAGCTGAAAATCATGGCTAACCTGTTTTGTTGGTAGCTCTGTTGAGCACTGGGACCTGGCTCCATCATATCCAGATCAGGAGGAGGGGGGAAATCTTCACCATAGTCTTCCTCGTGCACTTTATGTCTACCATTGGACATGGTGATGGGTCCTGATGAAACAATATTTTTAAAATATCAGACACTTTCACTTAAAATTAGTTAGTTTTTCTTGTCACTTCATCTTCTATGGGATTTTATTTCTGTTTTCACCCTGTGCAGTGTTGCTTTAAAGATAAAGTTATACTTAAGCTATAATAAAGTAGCTACACATGCTTTACAGAGAACGCACTTTTTTTTTTGCAATGTATAGTTACTGTTTACTTGCTGAACTTAAAATTTTGGGGAAAAAAATAGAAACGTGGGCTGTGCAAAAGTTACAGCACATTTTATATTTTATGCTTTTTTTTACCATGTTTAATTCAGCAAATAAATAGAAATTAAGTAAACTGTAGCACTAAAATTTGCATATTTAATACCTTAAAAAGTTTGGTTTATTACATACTAAGGCTTATTATTAAGTAACTACAGGGGCTTCAATGCAAACTGGCTGAGTTATTATTCGGCTATAGAAGTGTGTAATAAAATTAGCCATCTAAGAGGTCAAGTTTATAGAGGGTGTGTTTATACATACATACATACATACATAATATATATATATATATATATATATATGTGTGTGTGACTGCAGCCAAAAGGCTGATCAGAACAAATCAATGAAAGCTTTTCATATGTGCACATAAATATGTCCTTTCCTTTAAAATGAATGTTCTATACAGTGGCCACTTTATCAGAAACCCCTCTCGCGTAGCTCCACCTTGGTGGTGTGCAGAGACTATAGTTCATCTGTTGATAGTTATCCTCTAGTCCTCCATCAGTGGTCAGTTTCTGACCACAGAGCTGCGCTTGTCTTGATATTTTTGGACACTGCTGTGTCTGATCCACTCAGACCAGTGCAATACACACTAACACACCACCACCACGTCAGTGTTACTGCAGTGCTGAGAATGATCCACCACCCAAATAGTACCTGCTCTGTGAAGGTCCATGGGGGTCCTGACCACTGAAGAACAGGGCACAAAGGGGGCTAACAAAGTATGCAGAGAAACAGATGGACTACAGTCTGTAACTGTAGAACTACAAAGTGCACCTATATAGTAAGTGGAGCTGATAAAATGGACAATGAGTGTAGAAACAAGGAGGTGGTCATAATGTTATGCCTGACTGGTGTATTTGTGCAGTACACAGTAAAAGAAACCCTGTTACCTTTACTGCACTTCAAATACTTCAACTGCTGTATTTGCTTACAGCATTTTCATATTAACCAGATAAAAAGCATCATTATAGAAAAAAACAAAGCTGAAAACAGTCAGCTTTGAGTAAATACGGCATCCTTTCCCCACAAGCCTCACTGAAGGAAAAAAATAAGTACAGTGAGTTACTTTTGACGGACAAGAGACTCTAATCAGAAAACAATGCATTTTATTTTTTTTTCCAGAAAATGCAGCGAGGAGGCTTTGTGTCGGCACGGCAACTCTCTGGAGAGAGCGGCGGAGAAGAATAGAGTGAATTTAAAACAGTTTGTTATCCGTTCACGAGCGCCGCGCACAATGGCGGCGTATGCAAATACGGCCCACTTAGAATCCATTTCATCAGCCTAATGATTTCAAGGTCAGACCCAGCCGCATAAAAGCAGAGGCAAAATGTAACGAAAACACCGCCGTCCGCTTTAGCGAGATTGGCACGCTTCCAACTTGAATAAGTTTAAAAGCTTAATGTTTAGCGCTGGGAGTCGTATCACGGCAACGAATGGGGTAAGGTTTATGACTATGTTTTTTTTTTTCACATAAAAATTAATTATTTCATCAGAAGTCATCATCATTTCTTCGTTTCCCATGGCTCCAGCGTCGGCCCGCGCTGCATCAAGGTTTCCCTAAACTGATTAAACACGACTTTTGAAACAGAATTCATACTTTCCAGACAAACTGCATGTTATTTCGGATTCTCGGAAATAATAGGACTAATGTTATTATTGCTATTAAATCTATCACTTATCTCATTTTGCAGTCGGCATCATGCCCATATCAGCAACATGTCAACAGTTTTTAACCATGGAAAAAATTGATGTTGTTCTCCAAGTAGTAAGTCAAAATGTTTCAAACCTGATACTATTTGCCATAATACAACATTTATCACCCAATTTCTCTGGATCCTCTGAATTATGAGGTTTTGAAAGCTGGGTCATTCTACAGAAACATCCATTTTTGCGTTTACAGATATATTACACTTGATAACATGTTGAGGTTACAATTTATTTACATTTTAAAATAAACCAATAAGTTATTTTAACAGTTACACCTTCTTGAACCTCAATTTCGCAATATTGTTTTTAAATCAATTATCTAGAATTCCAAGCACCACAGAAGTAAAGGATGAGGCCATATTTTGAGGTAAAAACACGTTTTTCTGCCATTTTAACTACAATAATCTATACATGAATATGGAATATATAAATTAAAAGACATAAAGAAAACAAATGCCAAATATTCTAAAATATATAATGAAACTTCTTGTCCCCAGGAGTCGTGTCACTGGTGTTACTGCATAACAAAAAATCTCTTTTTTTGAAATAAAAATTACACTGATGACATCACTCGACTTCCTTTTACCTGTTTTCTGAGGATCTATGAAGAAAAGCTCATGGTGAGTCCACTGTGTCTTTCAGTTATCAGAGATTTTCTCATTTAGCTCATGATTTCATATGAAGCTTTTAGCTGAAGTCACTGGTGTGACCGACTTTATTCTTAGGTAGTTGCGAAAAAATAGAATACAAATGGATTAAATTGCATATTTTAGTGGATATTCCAGGATTGACAACATGTGGTTTGATGCTCTGTAGCAGCCATTTTGTAAAATGCATTTTTCATTAAAAACGTCTCTGCTGTTACTGTCACTGGGGTAACCTTTCTTATGTGTAACACCAGTGACGATCGGTTACGCCAGTGACACGTATAGACAGACAGAAAAGTGGACGTTTCCTATAGAATGACCCAGCTACACTATGTAAATTTTGGGGGATTTGGAGACCTCTCTGGTGGAAATGTGCAATTGCATATAATCAACCCACCTAAATGTATGGAAGAACATTTTATAAAATGTTCTTCCATACGTTTAGGTGGGTTGAGCTTTGCTCCCCTTCCCCGGGGAGATGAATCTGATGATTGCGAGCACATTGAAAGAGCATTCAAAGAGAACTCAGTTAAACTTGGTAAAGTTTCTTCTGAGGAACACGGAAACATCGAGCCGGATCTTCTTTTTGAGCCTGTGCATGTGTTAATACGGAAAGATACATGATATGGTTCCAACCCAACACCTGTGACTTTCAAGTCATTATTTCAGGACACCAGATTATAGCTTGTTTATTTCTCCTTACTCAGACATGTTACACTTTTCTATTTTAACAAAAAACTCTCACAAGGTGAAAGTTTAAGTAGTCTAAATATGAATATTGCTATAAGTTAATATTGTTTCGCACTGAACTGTTATCAAAAGAGGCCCATAAAACCTGCTGCATTTTCAGCCTAAAAAATCTTTTTCCCCCGTTTAACCCCCAAAAATGCAACTTCTGACTTGCAATTTGAAATAACTGGGCTAATACTATAATTATTACTACATCTATCACTAGGTTTGGGTCTAGAGCTACTACTATAATATAGGCAGAACATACCACAATAGTACTACTATATATTCATAATAGAATATATCTAAAATTCATGGCAACATAAACATATGAGGAAATCTGGGTCTAAGCTGGTTTTCTCCATGAGAACAATGAACAGCATTCTCAAAATCTGTCTCTATTGCACCTCTAGTTGATACATTTGGTACTACATACATTTTTCCATACAATGACACTGGATGCCTAATTATAAAGTCGTTGAGTAGTCAAATTACAAACACTACTACATGCAAGCTAGCACTGTTCTACATTAAATTGACATCATTAAACTGGCAACTTTAGCGAAATACTCCATGCTAGAACTCCGAGCTTTGTCAAATGTGGTAGTTAAGTTCTTTGGCCACAGTAGCCCAGAATTTAAGGTGCTGGTATATAATAGTGTTGAAGTGCAATCTGTGGTGTTAGTATATAATAGTGTTTAAGTGCAGTAATAAACTTATTTTATTAGGCCTGTAGACTCGTATTAGAAAAAGCCAACAACAGCAAGGTCATGGGTTCAAATCCCAGGACTGACTGAGATTGTGCCCTTGGGCAAGACACTTAACCCCAAACCCCCACTAAAACAGACACTGCTAAACTCTTTGTGAAATGCTCAAAGACTGGCCTGCATTATTTTGATCATGTGAATGCTTTGATTAATCAAAAACACCTAAAGAACATCTCTGATTGGTCAGGGCACAATAAAACATTCCATGATTCATGAGAGACTCAGCTGTACACTGCCCTGCTATGCTCCAGTTTTTGAGGTTTGATTGGCCTGTACTTACCTGGAGCGCGTTCATAGATGCTATTGGTCACCATCGCGGGCTGTGGAACACCACCGGCATGGCTGTTCTCTGCCCGCTGGACAGGAGGGCTCTCTCTGGCCTGGCTCTGACTGTTCTCCTACAACAGGGAAAAGTATTCAGTTTAATATTATTTATGTAGCACCTTCTACAACAGACCCGCTTTCAACTAACGTGGGTGTGGAACGCTAATGAGTATGCAGAAAATCACTCCAAGGAGCATGAAGACGAAACATGGAGAGGAACCAAAAGGAGAACCCATTCTGCACCAGATAACAATGGAAAAAGACATTTAGGACACTGATAAACCTTCAGGAGTATATTTAAAGAGAAATAAGACCATGAATGTAACATCAATAGGTAATCAGTATTTTTTTTTTTAGCTATAAGTGTTTTAGTTACATAGCTATGTGCTAGTTGGGCTAGTCTTGCCAGCTCGACACAATGTGGATAGAACAGACAAAATTTGGGATCTAAGAGGGCTCCTACTTCTGTTTTTAGCTATGTATGTACTGTTTTAGTGTCTTGCCCAAGGGCACAATTTCAGTCAGTCCAGGGATCTGAACCCACGACCTTGCGGGTGATGGCTCACTTCTCCTAACACTAGTCTACTGAATTAAGGACAGAAGCTATTACAGGACAACCGTTCTTAAATTCATTATCTTCTTCATTAACTCCAAAAGAAAACACTATTAGAAACATCCTAACTGGACTAAATTCTGTCCTAACTTTAGGATAAACCCCAGAGGTGTCTTAACTTCTGGTTTAACAGTCTGTTTCTATTGCTTTATGCATTGACAGGCAGTATAGTTCACTATAACTGGCAAAATGATGTTACTTTTATCTGCACTGAAAATGGTGTTTTGACTTTGACGCTGCAGACATGATCTCTACCGCCGCCCCCCATTACACTTGTGTGTTACTTTGTGTATTAATGTTAATAAAAACCTGTCAGATGAAGTTTTACAGTGATGGTGGTGAATAATGAGGAGACAGGGTGGCTGTTTATTAGCAGAAATAACGTTTGCGCTCGGCTAAAGCGTTTGGGAAACTGAAACTGGAGACAGCGACGCTGTGATAAACAGCAGGGGGCGCTCTCACAATATTCTTAACTACAAGTTTATTGCAAGTTAGTTTCGTTTAATTTGACCTTTTTCACCTCAGTAATGCTAGATAGCGCTCAAACTACTGATTACTTTGCATGTTTACATTTCAGCTGTGCGCATATGGTCAGTTGCTAGGTAACAGACATGACAGTTGATGACTTTGATTGAGTAAGTTAAGATTTCCCAACTTGAGATAAGATAAGATGCTGTAAGATAAGATAAGATTCCTAAATCAAGATAAGATCTGCTTCTGTAATACGAATTTGTGAAAAATCTTATCTTGGCCTGTCAGATCTTAAGTTAAGACAAAAAGACAGGAAGCTTCTTTAATACGGCCCCAGAACTCATGATGCCTACACTGTATATAGAGCCATTTTATTTTCTATCCAAAACCACCAGTGAACCTGCACATCTCTTCTAACATTTGATATGTGACGATGGTGATAAAAATGTGGTAAATCTGAAAAATAAAATAAATAAAAAAATTCTGTGGGGCCTATTTTGCCTGTCAGCACCCAGCTCCTCTCATGAATCCTGAATATATTTGAGAAAGCAATATGTTTCAGGCCCAAAGCTTATCTCAAAACTATGGTGAAGCAAGGTGAAGCAATGTCTAAGGCATCAGGCAGCATATTTGTATCAATTTCAGGTAAAAGTTTCCTGTGAGTTTTTGGGGGCATTAAACACTTTGCACATCCACTGCTGTGAACAATTCTGGCTTGATCTGCTTTTCTGGAATGGAGCGTTTGGCATCAAACCACTCTGGTTATATCTTAACCATTTAATTATGTCGAAATCTTGTGAATTCTCTGGATTTCTTAAGATTCCTCTGTACAGGCATTACTATTATGTCTGATGAGTTCCATGCAACATCACAGCTTACACGACTGGCTGGTTCAAACGGAATTGTTGTCACCAGGATCTGGCGCCAAGAAGCCCTTGAAATGAGTGGTGGGGATCATCTATAGCCGTCTCCATTTATAGCTTAATGTTGATGGTAAACCGCCATCTGACTGCCTGTCCAATAACAAAAGTCTGTCACTGAAGTTAATCGTGACGAGCTGGATAGACTAATTATGAACGGGTCACAGCTGCTTCATGCAGAAGAAGTCAAGAATCCAGCTGGTAAATGATTAAAGGGGCGATTTGATACAGTTCCAGCTATTCGCGAGCCGCGGGCGACTTGTCAGACAGCACTAGTAGAGGCAGATAAGGATGCAGACACAACAAGATGAAGACGTGGACCGCAGGCTGATGTCTATTGATGAGCGTCTCTCTTTGGTAAAGGCAGCTGTCAGCTTTGGAGCAGGGGCACACAGTAGGAGAGCTTTCCATTGCCTTTATACTGTCATACTGCTCACACACACACACACACACACACACACACACACACGTACACAAGCACACACGAGCACACACACACACTCTTTATTCACCGTCTCACAAAAGCTCCGGCATATAGAGTCAGCTGAATGGACATAAAAGGTATTAGGATATCACCATATCAAAGTCCCTTCCAACGTACGCGTGCAGTAATATTGTATTTGGGGGGGGGAGAGAGAAACAGAAAAGACAAAAAGAAAGACAGAGTGAGGAGGGTAGAGGCATATCATTAGTGGGGATGATGGCTCTTTACATATGTCATGCTTTTCATATGTCTCTCGCTCCGTCTCTCTCTCTCGCTCTCATTTCCGAGTGCTTACAGATTTCTACTGGCCCGAAACAAAAGATCTTCCCTCGCTGTACACAGAGAGAGCGAGAGAGAGAGGAAAATGTGTCACAAAGTAGGTCTTCCTGTCTCAGGCTTTCACTCTGATCAGCAGGCTGACGGGGGAGAGTGCGCAATGTCTGAAACACGTACAAGAAAACTCAACGCGGCATCAGAGCAGCTACAGGAAAACGAGGGCAGGGTAAAAGATCCTGCAGTTCTTTTATGTGTCCATTTTGCAAAGCGCACTGCTAGTAAAAATCATAAATGTTGTCCATTATCCTCAAATCCACTATCCGTTTTCCTCCATCCATGCAGCTTTAGCATCAAAGCGAAGCCCTCGACCAAATCTGTTGAAGACATGAGTGGGAAACGTATCCAGGCCATTCGTTCTGAACAATAAACTTGTTGAGGTTATTTGTTCATAATGAATTCTATTCTTTACACTACAGGCTGGAAGTTTGGAAATAATGCTAACTTTGCATGCTAATGCTAATGCTAACAGGAACAAAGAATTGCAAAAGGGTTGAATTAAATATCTGCAGCAATGCTGTCTAATGAAGTGATTATTCATTAGAATCTCCTGCTGACTCTCCTGCGGAGTTTTACTGTAGCTCCACTCAAATCTTCCTGATTAACCATTCCAATTTTCCCAGTGTAAGTCAATAGACAGAGATGTTCACAAGTCAGTTAATGCAAGTTGAGATTCAAGTCTCTGGGGTGCTGGGTGAGTCTGAGTCAAGCCCCGAGTCTTTGAGGTAGGAGTTACAGTTGAGTCTCCAGTGTCTGGGGTTTTAATCTGAATTGAGTTCCAGGTCTCTGAGGTTTGAGTTCCCAGGTGAGACTTGAGTCTATGAGGTTTGAATCTGAGTCATGTCCTGAGTCTTCAAGGTATGAGTTCCAGTTGAGTCTCAAGTCTCTGGGGTTTGAATCTGAGTCGAGTCCCGGGTCTTTGAGGTATGAGTTCTAGTTGAGTCTTGAGTCTCTCAGGTTTGAATCTGCATCAAGTCCCGGGTCTTTGAGGTATGAGTCTTGAGTCTATGGGCTGTCTGATTGAAGTCTCGAGTTTCTGGTGATTGAGTCCAAGTCGAGTCTCAAGTCTCTGGGGAGTGTAACAGAGTCTTTTGTTGAGAAGTTTGTTTAGTTTTATAACTGCAGATATTGCATTTTACAAAACTAATTCCCCACTAAAACCCTGTCAGGTTTGACTTGACCCTCTTTTGATCAAACTAGGTGACAGTAAATATATTGCACAGTATTAATTGTTGGCAAATTAATTAAAATAAACTGTAAAATAAATTCAAAATCAGAAAGTCATTGCTTGCTTCCACATTTCTGGCCACCTGTATACGTCAACTTGTCTCTGTGACATCTTCAAAAGGAAGCACGTTCCACGTCTTAATCAGAGAACAATTGTGGTGGGGGGCTTGAGCCCACCAGCAAGGACAAAGGACCAACAAAAGACCAACAAAAGAGGACCCCAGATGAGACCCCAAAGCATGAGCCCTCTCTGCTACTCCCTTACAGGACTGCAAGGCAGGAGCAGGGGTGACCAAGGGTTAGATTCCCTCAGGCTAGCCCCAAGCGTCCTTTCATTAAAACCCCAAAACCGCCTTTTATCCAAGGAGCCCGTGGTGTAATCTGATTAACTAGCTAAGCAAGAAGAGGCCCAGTGTGGAGAGAGGATTAGGGGTCACTTTGAGGGTGTGATCGAAGCACCTCCATGAAAGAGATGGGGGATGGAATAAAGAGAGCAAGAGAAAATGGAAACATGGTGGACATTGTGGACATTAAGTGAAGGAAGAAGGATGCAAGTCCAAAAACTTTATTTGTTTAGTTACAGTGGAGAAATCCAGTTATAATTTTGTTTGAGCAAGTCTTTCGACTATGAAAATGTTCAGAATGAATTTCATGAATTTAATTTTGTAATGAATGGTCAATGTTCTTATAAGTGCTGCATGAATGGTTTAAATATGTGAACTTTAGAAACTGAATGATGGTTCCAGTCAAGGCAAGAACTGGGCAAGCTTGTCAATGAAGTATACAGATCCAAACGCATGACTTTGCATAGCTATCTTTAAACAGGAATTTCTTTAATTTTCTTCCCTGGATTTCTGCATGATTCAGTTGTTGAGATGCAAACAAAGTCATTCAGACTTGTTTTGACGAGAAATCGTTCATTATGCAGAAGCTTACCGATTTTGATTTCTTTACAGTGGTGGTGATAGGAACCACTCAGCATGATAACAAAGTAAACATACCATTTATTTAATATTTTTAAAATGATCAGTGAAACCATGTATTATATTCTGAAAAGTCAGTTTTCTTTGGGTACTATTTTGCCTTTAAACACTCTGCATGTACATCTTCACCATCAACTGATTTAAAGCAATATGTCTTAAGCCACAACCTTCTTAATCTCAAAACTACCCTAAATAACGTCTCAGGCTTCAGGCTCTTTATTCTTAACCTTCTGGTGGATAAACTGATGGAATTCTCCATTAATAATCTGGGTTAATAATTATTTTGGAGAAAGAATTTTCAAGTTGGGACTTGCTCAACAAAATAAAGATTTTGGTGCAAAATTTGAGAGACAACTTGACTGTGCTCAAAAGTGTTGCTCAAGAAAGGTAAAAGACTCCAAAGTCAAGCGTCGAGGATACCACAGCCCACATTAAGTACTGGACACAAGTCACTACCCTTACAATCACAAGCAAGCTAAGCATAGCATGAGAGACTTATGGACTGGATGCAACACTGCGTTGCCTTGATAGATCCAATTACAGAAAGTCACCAAAATTATGGGCAAATTTCAAACAGTTTCAAACAAATCTTATAAGCTTGGTTTACAAAAGCTGTTTAGTGTGTCTCGCCTCCCACTCATTCTCTTATCATGCAATTCTGTCTGGGTGATTAATGGCATATTGATCAGCCTGCCTGCATGTGATTAATAGGGAATGCATCACGGTCGACACATCACCTTTTATTGAGCGGTCATTAGAGCCCTCACCAATCGCCATCCATCTCAGACTAGATGGGGCGGGGGATAGGCTAATGCCCTCCCATGATGCTCTGTTGTCTGGAGCCAACGTCAGATTCCACAACTCAAGGTGGAGTCAATAATCATTTGTCTTCATTTTTATCGAGCAGCATTGAAGAGCCATGTCTGCACTGATGGACCGTTCTAACTTGACCTTGGATCCAGAGTAAACTTGGTTTCAAGTTGAATGCCACAGCATGGTTTAATGGGACATATTTCCAAAATTGAGTAAACTGCACATCTATCCAGGTGGGCGCTGGAATCCACTCATCCTTTCATACGCAGCAAGCACATGCAAGGAAAATTAGGGCCTGGAAGGAAAATTAAAGGATAAAAATGTACAGACAATGGGGGTGAGGAATATCTAAGATCCAACATATATATTCCTTCAGAAAAATGCAAAGAAATTCTTTATGATTTTTCTGGCCACTTTTCAAAAGACCTTATCATATCTTGAAGCATACAAGGCATCAAGAACATGACTATTAAGCTTAAAACAGAGGTGTCCAGTTCCAGTCCTGGAGGGCCAGTGTCCAGCACAGTTTGGTGACTTATCCGATCAGCTGTGAAGGACTAATGAGGCATTCAGATGAAGACAAAATCTATCAAGTGCAGCTCTTTTCATTGTTGTCTAAGGCAGGTTTTCTCAAACTAGTCCTAGGAGCCCCAGATCATTCAGATATTTGCTTCAACCTACCTTGCAACATAGGGACATCAAAAAAGTGTGAACCATCTGAGGTGCCTAACGACCAGTTTGGGAAGCACTGGTCTAAGAAGCAATGTGCATTGTGGCTGAAAAGCACTTCTGTAGCACACATTCAAGCTGAAAAATGTCAGAGTGTCAGGCATCATCCACAGCTGACCAATCAATATCAAGGATGCCTTTCCTCTAGTGCCTCATCCAACATGGAGTAAACGCTGGTTTTGTCTGTCTTTGAACACCTGGACCTGTACAACACTGGACACAAAAATGACCATGCTTTTACTGTAGAAAAGTGTTTTTTTGTTCATTTATATATATACATATATATCAGTTTCAAAATGTTTATTGATCATCTTAAATTGCTGTCTCATGTTTACCTACTTGTCAATCAATCACATTAACCCACCCCTAATGCTGCACTCGACTAAAGCCCATAACTTGGAATATTCAACCTTGAACAAGGAAAACCCTAAAAAATATCCCTCAACTGGCAAATCCTGCTGGGAAATTCCCCAAGGTGTTACTTTTATCACATCAAAAGCAGACAAACTGTGACCACTGATGAAGGACTAGAACATGACCAACACAAACTGTATGGCAACAGATGAGCTACTGTCTTTGACTTTACATGTACAAGGTGGACCAACAAGGTATGTCTAATAGAGTGGACAGTGAGTGGACAGTGATTAAAAACTCCAGCCACACTGCTATGTCTAGCTTGCTGACTCGCTTTCATGGCACCCATGCTTTTTTCCACATATTGAAGCTTGAAAAGGACAATTCCAAGATCTGACTTCCTACTTCACAAGTTAAAACGGATGCAGCATAAGGGCCTCCAGGGAACACCTCTGGCTATGAAGCTTTAGGTCTTTGAGGACAATGAATTAAGTGACCACAGGAACTGAAGAAGGTGAGGGATACCACCACTACATTGGATAAAGAAAAGGGATTTTACGGTGCTTCTTGATGTTTATGGGGGTACACATGCCTAAACTTACCCGATCACTAACAGAAGGTGGCCCCCAATGAACACGGCGAGATGTCTGAAACAAAAAGATTTAACACTACTGCAGAAAACTTTTTTATATAGGGAAAAGCATTTAGTGTTTGGGTGGCACATCCACTTTGGCAAATGGGAAGTTCATGCGCAAAACCCTACAAAGGTTTTAAACTGTTACAGGTTTGAGATTTTCAGCCAGTGACCACTGAGCAAGGCACGAGAGCAGGCAAGCTCAACAAAAGCCCCATCGTGTTGTCCTTTAAAGCTTCAGATTTTAGCATTTACATTGGCAGCTGAATTTACACAACGTCTCTTTACTCAACAACTTCACAAAGACTTTCTTCCTGTCACCAGAGGGTTCACTTCATAACAGCTAATAAAGAAAATATCATAGTCAATGTATACTGCTTGTCTCAAGTCAAATGAGAATTTAACCTTCGTCTTTGGGGAAAAAATAGCAAAAGATGCCTCCTAAAAAAGACCAAAGAGGGCTACAAAGAGAAGATTATGTAATACACAATTTCCACGCCATGTTATATGTTCCACAAAGCCTCATTTACAGAAATAGAAAGGAAATGCAGGAAAATCCCAGAAGGAGAGAGCAAGGAGAGAGAGCATGCAGAGATTTCGGAACTTTTATTAGACAAACAGAAATAGATACAGGGAGGAAGTTAGTGCATCAAAGTTTTCAAGAAAGGTGGAATAATTAAAAATCAACAAAAAAAATTAGATAATAAGATTTTCCATAAATATATAAATGAATAATGAAAGAAAAAAACAATTGCACAAATTATTTACAAAAGTTAGTACAGAAATGGGAAGCAACAAGGAAAGAACAAGAAAAACAAGTTACTGGCCATCATTAGTATCTGTTCGTAGAGATCAAAAAAGAGCTCAATTTCTCATAAGAAACATGATATTCTGCATATTAAGTTTCTACTATCCTTTTAAGGAGCTCTACACTGCGGTGACCTGTGCGGACATTCTGGGGTCTACGCTGACCTTTACATAGAAGTGATTTGGCACGAACACGTGCATTCTCGAAACTTCACTCATTTACACCAGCAAACCCACAAATGTTTAGAGGCCACCAGAGAGCCTATAGTGGCTATACTTGTGGTAGCGGTGGATGAGCCCCCATGGCCCAGGTTCAGAAGCCCTGCGGCGGAGAACGGGTGGTGCAAGATGCGGCAGGGGCTGAGGTGGGGCAGCAGGGGCTGCAGCTGGGCATACCTGGGCAGGGGGGCGCTCCAAAGATCGCAAAACCACCAGCTGTATGGTTCCTCGCAGGTTGCCCTCCATGGACATGGAACGCCTCAGGGTCTCCATGGCGTCATGGTTGGAGCGACCGAGAAGGGATTCACCGTTGACAGCCACAAGCTGGTCATTCACCCGGAGACGCCCATCCTGGGGGGAAGGGAAAGTGACAGAGATAAGCAAGTGAGGGAAGAGAGAGGATTAGTGGGGGAAGCAACTTTAAAGCAGTAGTTTGGCAAAACAAGCATCATGACTAAAATCTAGTGGATCAGTCAAGATGTGTTTATGACACAACCATGCTTATTTAGTTTTGCACAGGAGCTACGAGGCTAATGTGGCTAACATGTAATAGAGGCTTACACCTCACCAATTTAGCATCATGTAAATCATTGCACTTGCATCAATTTGTGAATTAATCTAAAATATATTTGCTGTGGTTTCCAACTCTGTTTGAAATACTGTATAATTGCTTGGCTGAACTATCACCTTTAAGTGAGTTTAAAGTCATTTTAATACACTAAATTAGATACATTAATACATTTGCTGTTATTTAGTGCTTTTAACAATGAAACCTTTGCGATACTGTAATCACAGTCCCACATTACCCTGCAAAAAAATGATTTCTTTGCAAGGGAAAGTATGTTTAATCCTTTCAGCATATCTCATATTTACATTTTGAGATTGATTTAAGAACATTTTAATATTATTGAACTTATTGCAAGATGTTAGTATTGGTTTTAAGAATTTTAATCTATTGAAAGTGTCATAAGTTTACTTGTTTAAAGTGGTGAGGATAGATAATGTTGCTTGTTTCTGGAAATGATGTTTGAAGTGAGCAAAATTATCAGCAAAACTTTGTCAGTTGTCATGAAAAAAGCCTTTTATGAACATCTATAAACGGCTAGTCTACCAAGAGTCAGTTGTCCTTGATTTTTTTGAAATTGTAAAAAGAGCCTGCTGTAACTGATGCATATTGGAATAGGCCTTCATAGATGTTAATGTAGGTTTATGTCAGTTGTCACTGAATTCTTATATAAGTGTCATGCATCCTTACAAATGGTGTTCTTCAGTAAAGTATTGCTTAACTATCTGTCAGTGGAATAAGGCAACTTTGCAACATAAAATGACTTAAAACAAGAAATAAGATTAAAAAAAAAAGTTACAACATTTTTACATCAATTTCAAATTGAGGAATTTTAGATACATCAAGTAGATTTGAAATGACACAGGGCTTTATGATGGTGATGATGATGATGATGATGTAAAAGCTTTATAAGTTATTAAAACTTATCCCATGATGTGTCTACTGCAGTTTTGGTGACATAAACATTCTCACTACAACATATTGGCAAAAAGTGAAAAACTGCAATTCCGATTAGTTCACAATACTTGCTGACGGTGACATATCATCACTGTCATATCATAACCTTGCAAGTCATAAGCTCAGTTCGAAATAGCCCATTGCGTACTGGTAATGTACTGTGCACAAAAGTAAAGTGTATTATATTAGGCTTATGGGACATGACGGTAATTACGCCTTTCTGGATATTACACTATCTACCAGGGGCGCCCAAACCTTTTGCCTTGGATGGCCGAAGTGCAGTGGTCGTGGTGGCCTAAGAGGCCAAAAACACAGCACACGAAGAAGGTAGGTATGTTTCAAATATTTTTAAAAACGTTACTTTATGATGTTATTTTGTTGCATTTTTAAAGGAATATAAGATTATAATAAGTTGTATGTACAGTCATGTGCAAGGCTTGGGCACCCAAATTTCATGTTTCATTGATTTTTTAAGTGAAAGGAAGTAAAAGCATCCCCTATAGAAAACACACTTCTGCACATTTTAATACACGATTACTGTTTGTTTGCTGAATTTAGTATTTTGGGTAAAAAAATAAAAGTAAAAAAAATGTAAAATGTGGCCTGTGCAAAAGTTATGGCACATTTTATACTTTATGTCTTATTTTTATTCCAATATGCTAGAAACTCTAAATAGACATTGTGCTCTAATGTTTCATATTTAAGTGTGTTCTCTGCAGAGAAAATCAACAGAACATTATTTTTCCGGGGTGTTCAAACATTTGTGACTGTCAAACAGCCACACTTTGGACAGCTATATACTGCTGTGAAACGTCGAATACAATAAATACAGGTGCACCGTATGCTAGTTTGAACACAGACATTGCATGAAAATATGATAAATCGATCAATATTGTCCTTTACGTCTCCTTAAAAGTTACCTTTCCAGTGAGACAAGACACGCCATGTTGTGCCTAACTTAATTATTCAGATTCACTGCACTATAAACATAAATAGTAAAGGGTTAAATGTATTCACACTCTGAATTCAGACTGAATGTAGAGTATGAAAAGACAGGAACAGAGTGAATTGGATTAGGGCCCACAGCTGCAGTCCTCCAAACAGAGCTGCACAAAAGAGATTAGCAGCTAAAAGCTGCCGGAGTCGCCCAAGTCTCCTCATTGTCTCCCAGTCTCTGGACATGGGTGACCTTTAGGCTGGGTCATTAACCAATGACTGCTGTGATAGTGACCTGCTTAAAGGGGACTTTAATGGTGGGGACTTGAAGAGGCACACGGTGCCTGTGAGAGTTTCTCCTTGTAAGATGATGTATCTGTCTCTAGAGAATGGCTCTGCCTTCCCTCCGTGCTAATCAGTGTAGCTTTTAAAGCCTTCATTAGCATTAATGAGGCTGATGTGCTGTGTTTTTCACATGGTAATCAGTCATAAATGCCAGTGGATTTCTATACTATAGAGTGCCTCCCCTCACACGCAACACCTGCACATGTATGAATATCAACTCTATGGGACACTGTCAGCAGCTGCATGTCCTATAGCGCCAACATTTTGTCTTTTGGGGGGTCGTTATAGTCATTTCTAGGGAGGTAAGCATTCAAAAATGTCCAGTTTTGACTGATCAGGTTTGATTTTCCGTTTATTTGCTTTAATACACTCAGTTCTCCAAGAATAACTTTTATTAACATTAAAAAAAAATTTAATGTTACTACATTGGTTTTCAAGTTTACTTGACAAAGTAGTTGCTATGGTATCCCAGGTGGTTGCTAATATTGGTTTCACCAGGCCATTGATGTGGTATCCCAGGTGGTTGCTAAGGTTTCACTAGGCCATTGCTGTGGTATCCCAGGTGGTTGCTAAGGTTTCACTAGGCCATTGCAGTGGTATCCCAGGTGGTTGCTAAGGTTTTACAATGACATTGCTATGCTATCCCAGGTGGTTGCTAAGGTTTCCCTAGGCCATTGCTGTGGCATCCCAGGTGGTTGCTAAGGTTTCCCTGGGCCATTGCTGTGGCATCCCAGGTGGTTGCCAAGGTTTCGCTAGGCCATTGCAGTGGTATCCCAGGTGGTTGCTAAGGTTTTACAATGCCATTGCTGTGACATCCCAGGTGGTTGCCAACGTTTCCCAGGTGGTTGTGGTGGTTAAGGTTTCCCTAGGCCATTGCTGTGGCATCCCAGGTGGCTGCTAAGATTGGTTTCACTAGGCCATTGTTGTGGCATCCCAGGTGGTTGCTAAGGTTTCACTAGGCCATTGCTGTGGTATCCCAGGTGGTTGTTAAGGTTGTACAATGCCATTGCTGCGGCATCCCAGGTGGTTGCTAAGGTTTCCCTAAGCCAGGTAGTCCCCTAAGTCAGATAGTTGCTAAGGCTGGTTTTACTAGGCCATTACTGTGGTATCCCAGGTGGTTGCTAAGGTTGGTTTCACTATGCCATTGCTGTGGTATCCCAGGTGGTTGCTAATATTTGTGTATATGTGTTCTAGTGCATGAGTCTGTATGTAAGGTCTATAATGGACAGTCTGAAAGATGTCCTTTGTGACATCATTTGTGGTGGTTGGATTTAAACATTCTCAATATTACAGAGTTAATTTTCTTATGTGTATTATAATCCCATTTAAACTCCACAATCAATGCAATGTTTCATGCTCCTAGCCTGAAAACTGCAACTAAGAAGACGATAACAAAGAACAGAAAGTTGGCTTTGTCAATCCAACATAATTAGAACACAAGTTTATTTTAAAAACAAAAAAAAAATCAAAGGCATAGTCCCGTCTGTCCTTCTAAAGGCTGAAATCGAATGCTTGTTTTGGTCGATTTTCAATTTTGATTAATAATTTCTAATTATTTCGAGACAAAGATGACCACATCATGCATCTGTTATTTTCAGGTTTGCTCACAACCACTACATCTATCTTTCAGTTTTTGTGTTCATCTCTCTATCTCTCTCTCTCTTTTAGGTGCGAACAGCCATAGAAACCAACAGAGCTGAATGAAAGAGAGGGTGATAAGGCTGAAAGAGGGAGGCTGGATGAAAAGCAGAGCTTTTGAAAAGGTTTTCCCTCGTGCTCTTTCAGGCTGGAGTGGCGGCGATGAGGCCTGTGGTTGGCTCTTCACTGGAGAGCTGATAGGGGCCGGCGGCACTGCCGCAGCTGCTAGCCCACACTAGATTAGTCGGCTGATAGGGGACAGTGGGGCTGCCCTTATCTACACCCAGCCACTAGAACTGCTCTGTTCTTTTATGCTGTGCTGAAGAGAGGAGATGATTCATGCTTCAAAATAAGAAACTGCTTAAAAGTGTAGACCTCTTTTTAAAAGTCAAAATAAGCCTAGCTCTTATAATGTAAATATACATAGTATATACATAGCTCTTAAGATTAGCTCTCTCTTAGATTTATAAAAACACACAGCTCACAAATCACACACTGTAATACCTGTAGCACTCTGGTGCTGCTGTTCATATGCCAGGTTGGAAACTTGCTTTCATCACATTTTCACATCACATGGACACGTTATAAAGCTCTACTTATAAAATCTGTGTGAACGTTTTACAAACGAAGCTTCAGATGCTCAAAACGACCAATCAAGTGGCTCAACAGGCACATCTTGACAACAAACCTGCATTAAAGTTAACCTGAAATCTTTTTTCTTTACCCTGTTAGGTCATGTCCCTGTTTATATAAAGCACAGTTCACCATATTCCATTGTTTAAAAGACATAATTCTTGATTTTCTGTTCTCTTCCATCAAAATATAATGACATCTGCCTGCCTTTAAAACGCCTACTGAGATTACATTACCGTGAACCAGCGGCAGGAAACTGTATTAACCAATTAAATCATGTTTCACCTTCCCCCTCCCACCACCTCCACCTATCATCAAAGCTAAGATAAGAGACCCTCTGTGTTACCATGTTTCAATCAGAAGTACATCACGTTACCGAAAGATAATTAGTTATAAAATCCCATCAACTATAATTCCAAGATTTGGCTTTCATGGAACTAAGCTCCTTCGTTTTTCTTGGACTATTCCAGCACCCAACACACCTGGACTAGTAAATCAAGGCCTGCAAAAGAATATGGCCTGACTACTGGTTCTTTAAGAGCTCTCCTGAAGCTGTTCTCCTACATCTAGATTCAACTCAGCAGCCAAATACCTGGCCCCTCAAGCTACGTTAAAGCAGGGACAGTGCTAAACCGTGCAGTACTGCAGCCTTAAAAAACTTAAGTGGGCAGTAATTCAAAAGCAGCTGGCTCAAATGCACTTGGTCTGGTATGAATTAGAAGTGATAACCGTGACTTAGTGCCCTCATTCTCTCAGTGGATACAGAAATATGCTAGCCAACTGCACTGGGCAGTATAGTGCGCGACAAAAGGTATAGGGATTGGCTACTTGAGCTACAAAGGAATCGGTCACCATATTATGCAACATGGAACTGAAAATAGCAGGCTACATCCTTTTACCTTGAAAGCAGCTCCTCCATGGATGACAGACTTGATGAAGATGCCCAGGTCCTCTCCAGTCTCTCTTGACTTGTTGCCCTTCAGGCTGACTCCGAGGCCAGCAGAGCCTGAGTCATTCAGAGGAACCTCAAACATCAGGTGCTCTCGGCCATCTTCAGAAAGCGGCGGTCCTGACGGTTCTCCTTTCTGACACAAAGCAACAGACAGATGTATCAGCATTCCAAACTTTGGAATCACTTCTCAATGTTTTTTATTCAACAAAATTTTGATTAAAATATTCTACTCTTAGCAAAAAGGGTTCTATATAGTTCTATATATTATTATGAGACATTTGTAAGGATATTATAAGATTATTTAACTTATTTCTGCATATTTTTATTTGTTTTATGTAATTTTATCTTACGAAATCGTCTTGTTCCATTAGCAGATTATTTTAGTGTTATTTCTTGAAATAAGCAAAATCATCTGCATTTTTTCTCAAAACAAGTAAAACAATTTGCCCTATGGAAAATGACACTTTCACTAGATAAAATACTCCAAAAAAGAAAAATGTATAGGAATAGGTTGAATTATCTTATAATATTCTTACAAAATCCCATAATAAGAAATATTATTGACTCGATTTCACGTTTTCAAGATTGTAAGATATACTTTTTTGCAGCGTAGAACCATTTTTCAAAGTTTTCAAAGAAGCATTTATGCAGTTGCCACAGTTATATATATATATAGATAACAGTTGTCTTTACTGAGAACCCTTGAAGAACCACTTTCTTATAAGGCACAGAAACTAGATATGACCAAAATGTACTTTTAGACATTTCATTTCATATTACAATTAATTGGGAAGTATACAAGAAAGAATTTCCTGTCAAGCTACCTTCCCAGAGAGTTGATCAGATTTTAAAATATGAGGTATTCTGGAGATTAACTTCGTTATAACTTCATTCTTCACCCTATACAGCCTACTCAGGCATTTTAGAATTGAACTCTGTTCATAGTGTCCTAGCTTCCGACCACTTCTTTGAAAAAGGACTAGCAGACTCATTCTACACTCTCAGAAATAAAGGTGTGAAACTGTCACTGGGTACATCTCAGTACCTTTAGTCAGGGAACATAACTGTACCATAATCCACTGAAATCATATTTTCTAAGCTGTACTGACTCCACACACCCCGTCTCGTCTCCAGGCTTTTTATTTTACTGTTCTGTTTTAAAACATTTGGTTATGAAAAGATACAAATATGAACTTTTCACCTGGAAAAAAACTTATTTAGGTTCACAACTGGATCTTAAAACCACTGTCGTATCTTTGAGGGAACAGTTACATTGTTTGTACTTTGATGAATGAAAAACCTGCACAGAACCTTGATTTTTAACAGTGTATAAAATTTTTCAGCAGCTAAATTGGTTTCTAATATTGGAAATAATGGTTGCTCATCATGAGAACGGTTCTAACGGTCATCTACATACCTGTGATTTGACTGTGCTACTTAGCTGAAAGCTTCAAATCCAGTTATGCAGATGCTATAAAACCCTGTTTGTTATCTTGTTCAGTTGTGCCTGCGGTGCTCGCTTCACTGGTAAAATAACTGCAAACTCAAGCTAATCCGTTATTTCTAGGTTTAAAACCTCAACACAATGACAGAGCCACGATTCGATCCAACCAAATCTGATCAGACTTGAGGCCACACTGTGGGTTCTCAAACATGGAACTGGTCGGAGCATCACAACTACTGTAGTGCTTATTTTTAGGGAAGATATTTGATGTTAGTAGAGCAACAGCTTGGTGGTGGCTTTACACAGTCTAAGAACATATCAAAGCCACATCCAGCCACAAGGCTTGGAATTATGCAAAGACGAAGAACAACAACAAATGGAGGACAGGATGGTAGAAAAGCACAGAGCCAGTAAGAGCAGGAATAAAGGTGGAGAACGTGGATAAAAGGTGGTAAAATGAAAACGTGAGCTGTAGGTAAAAGCCTGGAAAAGTGAGGTGAAAGGACAAAGTGTGGTGGAAATGGGGGATTAATGTATGAGGAGCGAGCGAGCGGGAGAGAGAGGGAAAAGGGCAAGGGGGGGGGTTCATCCACTGGAACATGAAAGGAAGTGCGAGATCATGAGAGCGTGCCATTTCAAAAGGAAACATAATAACCTTTTTAAGGGCCTCATTTAGGAAGGAGGTTGGGGGGGTGGTGGGGGAAAGTGTTTAAGACTAATAACCCATCCCTTTTCTCCCTCTCTCTTCACTCATCCATCTCCTTTTTCATCATTTTTTCCATTTTTTTTTTAGTATGAATACCTCTCTCTTCTCCATTGGGTCTATAGATGTGAGCAAAATGACCTGCAATCTGTAAGCGAGAGATTTTGTTCTCAAAATGAAAAGGCGAGGGGGATGAAAAAATGACAGCAAGACAGCGGAGATGGAAAAAAAAAAAGCGAAATTCCCATTATTAAATGGGAAACGGCGGCCAGGCAAAGCGCTTTGTAGCCAGGGAAACCACCCATTAATGAGAGCACTTCATTTTGTTGATGCATTTCCTTCAGAAATGGGCAAAAAGTGGAGAGCAAATGAAAGAGAGACAGAAAAATTAAAAGCCAGCAAATCCGAATATACATGTGCTTTGATCCCTATCTACCATTTGCAAAAACCTCCTCACAACGGCGGGAAAGGTATTAGAGGAATTAACTGCCACCGTGCTGGTCACCTTCCGCTAAGTTGGAGCCAATTTACATCTCTGTTTGAAAGAAAAGTCCCTTTTCTGGTCTTTTCATACCTCAAAATGTGCAATTTCCTACTTTTGTTAGCTAGTTCTACACTTAAGACAAAAAATAAAGTGTGGATTTTTCTTCTGTTGAAGTAACGACCGTGAACGTGAGGCCTGGGAAATCCCTCGGGAACACGAGGCTCTTTAAAGTTTATCATCCTTGCTGCCAAACTCCTCTCTTATCTTGACAAGTGTCAAAGCCAGAGCTGAGCAGAGGGAACGGATTAACTGTCAGTGTGTGTGAGGAGTTGGACAGTCGGACTTTAGCACAAGACCCAAAGACAGCGGGAGAGCGCTGCATCCTTAAGAGCTCCCAGAGGAGGGGAGCGGGGGAGTAGAATAATGAAGTAAATTGTTATGGCGAATGCATGAGCATCTGCTGCTTAAAATCTTTAGTCTTGCAGAGCTTAGTCCCAACCTGAATTGCACACACACCTGGTACTCTGTTTGATAGGTGTTCCATGAGAGTTGGAAGTCTTCAGGACAGTAGACAGGCAGGGCATGCATGTACGCTCTTGGAGATCTAGTTATGTTACTAATGCGACATACTGATACTGCTTAGAAATAAGCAGGCTGTAAAGATCAGTATTTCAGAGCTAAAGATTGGTAGTTTCTCAGCACAAAAGACCTGTAGTTTCTCTCAAGATCAGTATTTCCTCACAGTAAGGCTCAGCAGTTTTTGGCACTAATGATCAGTTGGCACTAACAAAATACTGACTGGAAAAGAATAGTGCCTTGGCACTCAGTACTACAGATTGGTAGTATGTTGGTACTAAATATCTGTTATTCTGCTGAGCTAAAGATTGAAAGGTTTTCAGTACTAAAGGTTTTCAGTACTAAAGATCAGTAATTTTGCTGAACTAAAGATTGGAAGATTCTCAGTACAAAAGACTGGTGGTATTTTGGTACTAAAGATCAGTAATTCTGCTGAACTAAAGATTGAAAGGTTTTCAGTATTCTGCTGACTAAAGATTGAAAGTTTTCAGTTAAAACGTGATTTTGGTACTAAAGATCAGTAATTCTGCTGAACTAAAGATTGAAAGGTTTTCAGTACTAAAGATTAATAGTATTTTGGTACTAAAGATCAGTAATTCTGCTGAACTAAAGATTGGAAGATTCTCAGTACAAAAGATTGGTGGTATTTTGGTACTAAAGATCAGTAATTCCGCTGAACTAAAGATTGAAAGGTTTTCAGTACTAAAGATCAGTAGTATTTTGGTACTAAAGATCAGTAATTCCAGTGAACTAAAGACTGGAGGATTCTCAGTACAAAAGATTGGTAGTATTTTGCTACCGAAGATCAGTAATTCCGCTGAATTAAAGATTGAAAGGTTTTCAGTACTAAAGATTAATAGTATTTTGTTACTAAAGATCAGTAATTATGCTGAACTAAAGATTGGAAGATTCTCAGTACAAAAGACTGGTAGTATTTTGGTACTAAAGCACAGGGTTATGTTTTGCTAGCTATAACATGCATGATCCAACTATTCATCGTCTCTTTTTTTAAGCTCAACTGGTTGTAAACAGAAGAAATGCTAAACTATGTAGGGGAGTTGCCTATAAAACTACCACAAACTTTAAGCGACCTAATGCGATAGCAATTCTGGTTGACTAGTACAACATACATAAATGTGGCTTTGACAACTGGATACGTTTGGTTAGAGCTTTAACACATGAAAGAGACAGCTTGCAGCAGTGAGGTACATTTGTTAACAAAGAGATCTAGACGTATGCAGCATGGACTATTTTAGAGTGAAATATGAAAACGTGCACTACAAACTTTCTAACTCCCAAACTCTTTTCACTCGCACAACCGTTTGAAAAAGAAACTACTGCAGAAACATTCGGCTTCATCAGCCACGCTGCTTCTGTTTTATAACTGATGTTAGTAGTAACAGCTCTTTCAAAACGACAGCACATGCATTACAGCAATATGAAAACAGGCTTCCACAGCACTATAAAATGGTTATTTCACACTACTATTCTACAAAAAACAAACCACCATGCATGCATCAAAAATGAAGAGATTTCATTGCAGAAGTAACTGATAGATAAATCATGTGGGTCAATCAAATTTTTGAGCAGTGCATGTTAAACACTATAAAATGCTCATTAAAAAAGTATGACAAAGCACTTGGGTCAGACGGGGCCAAAAAACAACCCTAATAAAGACAAAGAAGAATGGGAAGAGAGAAAGAAGAGAAGGAAGAGAGAGAGGAACAAAGAGGGGCAGGCAAGAGATATAAAGGGTATCTGTGTGTTAGAAAAAGAAAGAAGAAAGAAGCCAAGTGTTAGAGTCCATTCCAAGCAAACGATCCACTATCCCACTGAGATCTAGAGTGAACAGAACGGACAAGAGAAGGCCAGCAATGCCCCGAGGCATCCAGCATGAGAAACTGCATCACTCACAACACACAACAG